ACAAGCAGAGAGAGTTTTAGCACTGTTTCTTTTTTATCCGTTATCTTGTAAACTAAACAATTTCTGTCAGTCATTGGTGTCTTCGACTCTTTGGAGAATGGTTTCTTTATTTTGCCTCTTGCTTATTTTGTATGCATTTACTCCTGATATATTTATATTGAAACATATATCTTATTTCCTTATTTTAATTGTGGTCTAGTTCTCTCTTTACACCACAATATAATGTATCCACTTCCCTGTTAAATGACATTTAATTTGTTTCTAAGTTTCCACTATTACAAACAACATAACATATTTTCGATGTCTCCTCATGAACATGTTTGAGAGTTTCTTGGAGATATAAAATTTAAATTAGATGGTTTGGTCATATGGTATGAATATGTTAAAACTTAAACGTATTGGCAAACTGCTTTCCAAAGTGGTTCTATTAGTCCCTTATCAGTCTTGAAAAAAGACATGACGTTGTATTCAGTATAAAATAGGCACTTGGCAACAAATTTAACAATGTTTAAATGGCCATCAAATGAATCATACCTCCAGTATTTACATCTTTGTGTATCTCCTCTAAATGAATGATATGGGTTAATTTGGGGTACTACTGGTAATGCATAAATTATCCTTGCAAACCATTACTATTAGGTGCTGAAAATAAATCTATTTCTTAACAATAATATAATCTTTTTCAGAAACTTTAAAAATACACACATACCACACATATACCTAACATAATTAAAGGAATGTTTCTTGTAATAATTAGTACTCTGTACTAATTACACAAAATCACACACACAATCTCACACACACAATTATGGCTCTTTGGAGTAGTACTTCTAAACTTATCCTGAGAGCTTATTTCAGAATTCAAGGTCTGATGAGTAAAATAATGCTTCATACATTATTAGGCATTTTCAATTGAGCCCCAAAGTAGTTATCAAATGTATTACTTGGATTGTATTCCCTTAAACTGTATTCTTTCCACTTATTTTAAAACTTCAGACTTTCAAATAAAACAAAAGCTAATATTGAATAACTAATATTTCTGAATGTATTTCAAATTAATGTGAGATCTTGGAGACTATTAAGTGTTGATATATTGTCTTAATGTCCAACTTGATCTCAGAAAATTATAAAAAATAATTAATAACCTAAAATACATACTATAATAGGTGACTTTCCAAATTTCATGTGTAGTGTTTATTCAGATAAAAATATTGTCAAAATTTTATTTTTTTCAAACAATTGCACTGAAATAACTAAATCTGCATTAACTATATGGCAAAAAAAATTCTTATTTTGACAGCAGTATTAACTGGTATTATGAAATGTTTACTCAAATACAGTATGTTAAATTCTCCCAGTTTAGGAAACCCTTGACACTGTTGGTGGGAATGTGAACTGGTACAGCCATTGTGGAAACGGTATGGAGGTCCCTCAAAAAACTAAACATAGCACTATTATATGACCTAGCAATCCCTCTTCTGAACATACACCCAAAGGAAATAAAATCAGCATCTTGTAGAGATATCTGAGCTCTAACGTTTATTGCAGCATTATTCATAATAGTCAAGATATGGATACAACCTATGTGTGTCCATCAGTGAATGAATGAATAAAGAAACTGTTATATGTATATGGGTATGTGTGCATATATATATGTATGTTTGTGTGTGTGTACATATATATAGACACACACACATATGTTCAGCTTTAAAAAAGAAGGGATACTGCCATTTGCAGCAACATAGATGAACCTGGTGGACATATAGTAAGTGAAATAGACCAGACACAGAAAGCACAGAAAAATAAATATGAAATGATCTCACTTATTTGTGGAATCTATAAATAGTCAAATACGTAGAAACTGAGAGTAGAATGGTAGTTTCCAAAAGAGGGGTGGTGGGGAGAATTTAGGAGATACAGCTTGAAGCATACAAAGTTATAGTTCTGTATAAGAAAGTTATCATTATTATATATTATATAATATTTAATCTTAATTATAATATACAATATAATATGTTACGTATAATAAGATCCAGTGTACAGCATGAGGCCACAGTTAATAATGTTTCATTGTGCACTGAAGAGTAATTTGCTAAGTGAGTAGATTTTAGGTACTCGAACCTCACACACAAAAAGGTAACTATGTAAGTGGTAGATATGTTAATTTGACTGTAAAAGTCATTTTGCTATATATGTATATCAAAACATCTCTTTGTATACCTCGAATACATACAATAAGAAATGAATGAAGATAAAAAAAATCTATAACTAGACAATGATAATAGGCTGATATACAGGTAATATTTCAGTGGAAACACTGTTTTAATACACATAAGAAAAGGCATTAACTAAGAGAGTATCAAATCAATTCTTCTCACCTATGCAAAATACAAGGGACAGAGAAATACATTAACATAAAATTGTCAACAGCTTCTAAATTCTTGGAACAAAAACATTTCAAACTGGACCTATATCTACAAGTCTTCAGAATTTAAAGCAGTAATTCACATCAGTACCCTCTCAAATGGTTACAGTTGGCTCAATATTTACCAGAAAGAATTAATGAAAAAAAAAACAGGAACAGGCTGAACCCTTTCAGACTATTTACTTTATTACCACTCAAATATTTTATGTACCAAGCTCATTGGACATATGATAAATTGACAATAAATGGGACCAAGTACCCACAAGAGACTTAAGATCTACATGACAGTCTATAGAAACTGGCAATGGGGAAGCTTATAAAATGCGATAGAGATTTTTATCACACATTAACTATAAATATTCATTCACTTGTTTGGTTGAATGTTCTATTATTTGAGTTATCTTTTATATTAAAATGTTGGTCCATGGCCTATAAGAACTTGATGAGAGATAAACAGTCTCACAGGAAAATGCACATATTTACATAAACACAAGATTTTGTGTTCATTTTCAGGGCATTTCATAGGCACTGTGGACTTTAAAGGGTCCATCCTAAGACGTTAGCAGTTGGGCTATCTGTATTATTTGCATCTTATTATATTCGAAGTAAACTCATTTGTTAAATCTATAAAATGTGACTGGCTTAATATAATGATATTTGGGGGTAGTGTACTTGGGCCCAATTCAAATTCTACTAAACCTAGTAATCAGAGGCTTATATCAACTTAAAGAAAAAAAAAAGTATAGGTATGATTTAACACCTTCATATTTCTGCACAGCTACACAGATAATAAAAATTCACTCACAATCCTGGGCTATCACAAATAGGAGTTTACATGGGAAACAATAGCATATTTATATTTGCAAGTTAAGGTAAATTATAACATTTCAGAATGTTTGATTTCTAACAACAACAACAACAAAAACCCTCATGTTAACAAGCAATTTTTTAAAAAAGATTTCAGGCAGTGAAATTCAACATATATCTTCTTGAAGTAATATAAAAGTAGCATGAATGAAAGACTGTGAAATAAAATGAAATGAGATATAAATGTCTTTATTATTATCTTCACTGAACTTGAATACTATAACCCAGTTAATAAAAATACAACTGGAAGTAGCTACTCTGAAAGAATGTTCTTTTAATTTGAATATAATAGTTTCACAGATTTTAAATTTGAATCTTAAAGATACGATATGTAACATTTTTCCCCAAAGCCATTATTTTGGGTTGTTAATTTTTTGATATATGTATTTTAAAAATGAAAATTACAAGGGAGAGTGGTAGAAAATACCAATTTAGGTTTCAGAAAGTATAGGAATAGGCTTGCAAATGTAAGGTAGTGGCTTACATCTGTCATCACAGCACTTTGGGAGACAGAGGCAGGAAGATCGCTTGAGGCCAGGAGTTTGAGCACAGTCTGGTGACATCACAGAGCCCCCACATGTCTACAAAAATATAAAAATATATTAACCGGGCATGGTGACATATACCTGTAGTTCCAACTACTTAGAAGGCTGAGGTAGAAGGATTGCTTGAACCCAAGAGCTAGAGGCTGTAGTCAGCTATGATGGTACCACTGCTCTCCAACCTGGGCAACAGAGCTAAACTCTCTTTTTAAAAAGATAGGAAAGTTTTAAGATTAGAGAAATAATATAATATGTGGAGAATCTGTGGTGACCAATGCTTTCATGGCATATTTGGAGGATACACTAGTACTTCAATTATTTTTCCCAAAAGAGGGAGCTTGAACGTCATCCAAATTTATGAGATGGATCTGGGAACAAGCAATTCATTGCTTTGTTTAATTGTTCATTCAATAAATATTTATTGACATTCTATGTGCCATGCACTGTAACAACAGGTAAAATAAACACAGATGAGTGAAAATTACTTAGCCCAGGCCCTCAGAGAGACCACAGTCTATGAGAAAAGAGTGACAGAGATGGAATTAGGATGAAGTTAACAAATTCCATGGAGACAGCAGTACAGAATGCAGAGAAGGTAGGTACTGCGCACGATGGGCACTTTTGCCTTTCCCTTAGAAAGAAAACTTGAATCCAGACGTTTAAAACACACAAAAAACCAAAACCCCTGTCTAATACAATGCGATCCCTCTTCATACCCGTCCACTAGTCATCCCAATTTGAACAAATCATCAGAGTTCCGACTAGAACCTAATTGGTGTTTGGTTCCAGGAGATGGGAATTACTTAGCTCATTGATCCATCATATGAAAATTTCCACATGCATCATTACTAATTTGAAAGACGCTTTTCCCCCTTGAAGCCAATAATTAATGTTTTCCAAAGATCTACTGGGAATGCTTATCTTTGCTCAGTAAAACACTAAAGATATAGAGCTTAGTGTTCCCTTTCATGTCACAAGGGAACTAAGATTTGTCCCCCTCCATTTTAGTTTATGTATCCTTTCTCTCCATACCCAACCTTCTCTCTCTCTCTCTCTCTCTGTCACACACACACACACACACACACACACACACACACACACACATTTTCTCTTGTTCCCCGCCTTTCTCTCTCCAGCCATCCTTGCCCCCTACCTAAAGCGGTCAACCTCTGGAAGTAAGTCAACTCCATTCTGAAAAAGAAGAGTGTCGCAAGAAGTGAAAGTGATTTTGACCAGAGGTGGCTTGTCTCCACTTCTCCCCTCCTCTCCAGAAAAGGATGGAGCAGCAAAGAGGAGGGTGTGCGCGTGTCTGGTGGAGGCGGGTAAAGAAATGGGGTGTCTTTAAAGCAATAGCTTAGCAAATACTGGGACTAGAGTGCGGCTCGAGTCCACTTCCCAACAGTTTGGCGAGAGTCCGCCAGGTGAGTTGTAACCCCTGTTAGCAGGAAGAATCTTTTCGCTTTCATTGCCCTCCCTACCGCCCCCCATAACACCTGAAGGGGAGGGTCTCAAAGGTCTTTTGAGCCCGGACTTGATCCCCTCTCCTCACCACCGCTACCACCCCACGCCCAGCAGTCCCCATCACCCGCCCTTTCTCCACCTCCAACCTTGACTCTGGGTACAAACAGGTCCTCGCACAACCTGACGAGAGAGGAGCTTCATTGGTTAGATCCAAATCCCAGCGGAAGGGAGGGGCCCAGGAGGGAGGAGGCCGAGCACTGCTGTGGGCGGGAAGCCCACCTGGGGTCGGGGGCTGAGGAGCCGGAGGAGGGGCGAGAGACCCGGGTCCTCATCCGCGGAGTTACGGTCGAAACAAACTTGGCGAGTCTTGCAGCGCAAGCGCGCGGATGCTAACCCCAGAACCTTCAGCGCGCGGGCACGAAAGGGTGTGGAGCGGTATACATAGCTCTACATACACATTGAGCGCTGAGCGAGAAAGGAGGGGGCGAGGAAGGCAGGTTCCGCCTCCCCTGGCCCCGTGCACACACACGCCCACCGCGGCTCGGGCTGGCTGAGCGCGGGCGAGTGTGAGCGCGAGTGTGCGCACGCCGCGGGAGCCTCTCTGCCCTCTCCTCGCACCCTGCTCAGGGCATCTGAAGAGCCTGGAAACGTGAACAGGCTTGAAGTATGGCATGTTGCAAAGATGGTTTCTGCCAAGAAGGTACCCGCGATCGCTCTGTCCGCCGGGGTCAGTTTCGCCCTCCTGCGCTTCCTGTGCCTGGCGGTTTGGTGAGTTCTCTGGGGTGCGGGGAGGTGGGCAAGGGAAAGTGGAGAAATGACCAGCTCCCGGACCCCTTTGGCCACTCGCTCCTCCCTGGGTGTACTAGGTCTCCCTGGGTGTACATTTCAGCTGTAAGAGGAGGGGCCGAAGCCAGGCTTTTCTGTGACCGCATAAATGCGGAGAGCACGAAGGGCGCAGGATGCAAGAGGCATGTGGGCACTGGGGGTCTTGTGGCGGGGCGCGCTTTTCCTGACCATTTCTGTCTTCTGCATCCCAACCCCCAGGCTCGTCTCCTTTAGCTTGGGGCAAGCGACTCTTTCCCTAGAAAACAAACCTGTTTGCACCTGTTCTCTGATGGATTCTTAAAATAATCTCCTCCGCCCCCATTTTTTTTTTTTTTTTTCGCTTGCAGTTTAAACGAATCCCCAGGACAGAACCAAAAGGAGGAGAAATTGTGCACAGAAAATTTCACCCGCATCCTGGACAGTTTGCTCGATGGTTATGACAACAGGCTGCGTCCTGGATTTGGGGGTATGAACGATTTCAAACGCGCAAGTGTGTCCTGTCTGTCCCTCTCTTGGTCTTCCTGTCTGTCTGTCTGTGGGAATATCATTAGGTATGCCTCACGTGCAAAAATAAATCTCTCTCTCTTTCTATCTCTCCTCTCTTGGTGAGACCTATGACAAGAAGACCGCCTCCACCCGTACTTTCCCATCTCCCTGCCCCCTCAGAAGCTTTGCCTCTCCCCCACACTAATTACCTCCCGGGACCTGACTGCTGGTTGGGGGAGGTTGGAGAGGAAGAGTCAAAAATGGGAACTCTGGGCTCAGCTGCCTGGCCGCTCTTCGCTGAGAATAGTTTCCCTGAACCTGGCCACTTAGCTCAGAGCAGGTTGCACTTGAGGCAGCTGAACTGAAGTCCCTCGTCCTCCCACGTGTCCATGCCTATGCCAAAACCTTGGCCAGTGTTCTACCTAGGACATAAATCTGGGGCATGAAGCTGCCTGCTCTGCTAGAGAACCCATTCCTTTCCTTTTCTCTTCTACAGCAGGATGCTTTTTTCTCCCTTTCTTTTTCGGTGATGTGTCATTTGCTTTCCTCCTAAGACTTTAAAGTTAGAGATGTTTCAGCTTGCTTTCTTCAACAAAATAGGTATAAAGGACTTAATAGAGGTACATCCATTAACAGCACTGTTGCTCTTTTTCATATTCATATTTCCTTTGCATATATAATGAAAACCTATGTGGCAAGCTTTGTGCTAGGTACTAGGTCCACAGAAATATTAAGATACAATTCTTAACCTCAAACGAGGTTCAACGAGGACAAATGACTTGCTAGGGTACCATTCATAGGTTTGGCCCAGGTCCTTTGATCTCAAAGTCCCTGTTCTTTACAGTACACTGCATTAATTACCCTTCAGCAACTGAGTTGAACAGGAGAGAGATTCTGTCTTAAAGGAGCTTACATTCAAGTGGTAACAATAATAACAACTAGTAATATTGTATTTATTTAAATAAATGTTCACATATGCCAGGCATTTTGTAGGCATTACTACTCTGTTTAAACCTCACAACAACCCTTTGAAAGCCATTACTATCCCCACCTTACAGATAAGGAAATTGAGGCTTAGAAAGTTAACTAACTAGTCCAAGTTACAAGTGGGAGGAGAAGGATGTAAACCCAGAGCAGGCTGTATATTTAAAAAACAAAGCCGTGCACATGGGGATGGTATCAGATACTGTGTGATGAGTATCATCTAATATTAGAAGCATGGAGCAACTTTATACCTCCTATTGAGGGTGTGTAGGAGATGAGATGTTGGGAGAATGGAGAAGGTAAGAATGGGGAGCAGGACAGCCTGTGATGTGGAGTAGGAGTATGGCCTGAGGCTAGAAAGAGTGGCAGAGAGAAAATAAAGTTGGATAGAGTAGAGTTGGGTGCTTCTTTGGTGTCTAGTCTCATTTAACAGATGGGGACACTAAGGTCTAAAAAGGGAAAGTGATGTATACAAGGGCATGTAGTACATCAATGATAGGATGAGATCAGGTCTTCTGAATTCCAAACCATTATTTCTTGGATTTTATGAGAAGGTTATGGGAACCCATTGAGGGTATTGATTCAGCATTTGTATATTTCTTTTCTTTCTTTGAGATAGAGTCTCACTCTGTCACCCAGGCTGGAGTACAATGGCTTGATCTTGGCTCACTGCAACCTCTGGCTCCCAGGTTCAAGCGATTCTCCTGACTCAGCCCCCCGAGTAGCTGGGATTACAGGTGCGAGCCACCACACCCGGCTAATTTTTTTAAATATACTTTTTGGTAGGGATGGGGCTTCACCATATTGGCCAGGCTGGTCTTGAACTCCTGACCTCAAGTGATCCAGCCTCCTCAGTCTCCCAAAGTGCTGGGATTACAGGCATGAGCCACGCTGGGCCAGCATTTGTATGTTGACAGTGATAAGAATAGATGAGAAGAATGAAAGTTTCTCCTGCTTCTTTTCACATTGCCTCTCCAGGGATAGGCTGCCTGCACTGCATTCGCCTTCATGCAAATCTGAAAAGGGGTGAATCATTTGTCAATGCATGATCTTCCATAAGTGACTGGGAAATTACCATTTTAGATCAAAAATAGTGTTGTGGAGCATGGTTCAGATGATGTGATACCATTTAAGGCAATATTATATCAATAAAAGAGGATTTATCTGCCCATAAACATTTTAAACTTGACATTTCAAGTGAAGAAAAAAAAATAAGAAAAGTATCCAGTCCTATGTAGTTTACATATTCATTCAGAAAATTGATATACTGGAACATAAATCAAAGTGAAAAGTTAGAACTGAAACTATACTGTTTGATTATAAATGCTGAAAATTAAAATAATACCTGCCCAGCTGGCTATAATGCAAGCTATAATTCAAAAGGAAGAAGGGATCCATTGTAGATGGATCCTTCTTACCATCTGCTCTCTCCCATACCATTATATTGACAATAACATAAGTGAAAACAATATATGTGAGCCATTACTGGGTTTTGGTTAATCGTAATTCTACTAAATGTCTCAAGGACATTATTAGTCGTGTAATTTGTCACTGCCAAAAGTTCTGCATTACCCACCTGAAAACATTTTTGTAGTTTTATGAGAAGGGGTTGAATTAAGATTACTTCCAGCATTACTAATTGGTAAACCATTTAAACATTTACTAAATAGCATAACATGGGTTTTGTTTGTTTGTTTGTTTATTTGTTTCTTGGCTTTGCTGATAAATGTTTGTGGTAAATGTGATTCACTTTTTAGAAGTGGGTCATTCTCTGTAAATGTGTAGTATTCCAAATGTGACAGAGGAATAGTGATTCTCACCTGCAGAAAATGTGTTTTCTGTTTACATGAAGTTGTAAATGTGTACCACGGAAAACAATGAGAAACTTCATCATTAGCACAGACTCTTAGATACCATAAGTCAGATCCCTTCTATGACATTGGATACTCTGTGGAAAATTTGGTATTTTAAAAATAAAATGAAAACAATCCAGATTTTGACTAGTAGGCTATAAATATGGATTTACTTCCTGGTTCCTATAATCCTGCTTCTGCTCTTTGTGGGGCATTTACTTTATATCTGTTTATACAACTTTGCTGTGTTCCATTTCAAACAAAGCTAAAAGCAAAGATTTGAATTGAAATTGGATGGTTTGTGATTGCTCAGTAGGCCAGGCAGGGGTTGAAATAGATTTGGAAACTAAATTACATATTTTTAACTCAGCAGCACAGCTTGTGATAGGGAAATAAAAGGAACTGAAATGGTTTCCTTTTTTTACATCCCTCCAGGATCTCCTCTCCCTTGTCTCCTACATTCTCCCATTGGAGAAGAAAAGGGGAAAAGGCGAGAAGAGAGGGAAGGAGTCATGGTGAGAGAAGCTGATTTCGTACTTCCGAGAGGATGTAGTCCTCTCAAAGTCTGACAAATCAGTTGCTATCATCCTGAAGTAGCTTTCACCTGTGTGGGTATAGCACACAAGTGAAACCTTCCACAAAGAAGTCAGAAAATAATCCCCTAGCTCTTGTTCACTTTCAACACTGTTATATGCTTTCTTAAAAATGCATAGCTAAGGTATTTACTGACTACCAGGAAATGGTTTAGGAAACCTGCCATTACTCATTTTCTGTTTATCGAAGGGTTGCACAGCCTTTCACACAGCTCAGTATTTTGAGGCACATGATCCAGAATAACAAGTGTTTCAAATACAGATCATTGCCTTTGAATCATCTTCCGCAACCTCTCTGAAACGGGAATGAAGCATTTGAGTCATTTTTGTAAGGTTATTCACTAACATAGTAGGACTTCACATTAGTGGACTTCACATTATTTACTAAGATTATTACAACACCACAAAGGGATAAGTAAGACAGGCATCATCCCTCTGTTAGAAAACAGGGTGAGAAAATTTGTAATGAATTGCCCACCAATTGTATAGCTACTTCTTGGTAAAGTCACAACACACACCCTCATCTTTAAAACCTTAGTCAGACAGCTGGTCCTATATCCACTTCTGAGGCATTCTTGCATTGCCCTGTTTATCAAGAGTCAAATTTCCTGAACATGCCTTCTTGCTAGTAAGTAGGACTTTAAAATAAACTAAATTACATTTGCTCTGAAGAAGTGAGATAAGAACTTTTATTCTAAAGCTTTAATAACTTTTCAAATAGCAAAGAAAACACAGAAAATTGTATGCATTTGGGTTAAGTTGGAATGTTTTCCCCACAAAAATCAAATTGTATTTGCAATGTTTTCAAATAATCTATGTATCTCCATTTAAAAGTTAATGTGTCTTGTGCTAGTCTTATTAATTAAATGTCAATAGAGAAATGCTTTTAAAAATACATAGGCAAAAAGAGCACTTCTCGGCAACATAAAGCTTCATTCTCTTCCAATTTGTCTCATTCTTTCATTCATTCATTTGTGAAACCAATCTGTATTGAGAGACCACCATATGTCAGGAACAATGTAAGGTTGTGAAGATATCATTCTGATCTGATATGAGCCCTCACAGACTTTACAGCTAAGCATTATAGAGAGATGAAAATAACAAAGAAATAATAAAATAATTAAATGAAAATGCTATGGGATAATCTAATAGCATGCTAAAAGGGGAAAAAATGGGTGAGGGATCTATTTCAGATTTGGTGTTCCTGGAAGTCTTTCAAGCTAAAACCTAAAAGTGTCAGGCATGAAAAGAGTAAGAGAAAAGTAATTCTCCGAGGGAACAAAACAATTAAGTGCAAAGTCTGAAGGTAGATAATAGGTTAGTGTGATGTAGACTGTAAGAAAAGTCCAGCATGCCTGTAGCCGGAATGCAAGAAGAAGAATCTCATGAGGTTTGGCTGAGATGGTAAACAGAGGCCAAGTCTAGTAGGGTCTCTGGGGACCCTGTAAAAGAGCATAAATTATTATCTTAGTGAACCTGGAAGCAATTGGAGTTTTCTAAATCGAGGGAATGACATGGCTTGACTTAGAGTGAAAAATGCTCCATCTTGT